ACTGAAGGACCTGGAGCAAGGAAGGTGCTTGATGCTTGTTGATAAGAAGTGTGGTAAGTTCTCTCTTGCTTTCTCTTACCTGTACTTAGAGATATTGCAGGGGCGTCTGGCTGGCTCAGTCAGAAAAGCATGTAACTCTTGATCTCAGGGTTGTGAGTTCAAGCCCCACACTGGGTATAGAGATTATTTAAAATAAAACCTTTTTAAAAAAAAAGAAATATCTCAGAAACTATAGCCATTCACTCATTTTCATACTCTAAAACGACAAGAAGCTCCCCCTTCTTTTCTTGGATAAACCTGTGCTATTCATTCATTCATTCAATAAACTACTAAAGCCAGACATTAAGCCATGAGGTAAGGCCAATTCCTACGCTCAAGAAACTTGTGGCCTAGTTGTGGAGGCAAACATCTTAGCAATTTACTATAAATGCCACATGGTAAATAAAAGGTGGAAATATGATCAAGGAGTAAACGAGCCCCAGTTAAAGGCGTCAGAAATGTGTTCCTGGAGAAAACGACAGGAGCCATGGCTTAAAGGATGAGCAGAAAATCGGCGAGAAGGGATAAAGGGCCTGGGGGGTGCCTGTGTGGCACAGTCTGTCAAAGCACCTGGCTCCTGGTTTTGGCTCAGTCGAGACCTAGGTCGTAAGATCGAGCCCCGCATCGGGCTCATTGCTCAGCGTGCAGTCTGCTTTAGGTTCTCTCTCCCTTTGCCACGCCCCCCTGTTCTCCTGTGCTCTCTCCCTCTCTCTCAATCTAAAATAAATAAATAAAATAAATAAATAAAAGAAGGGATAAAGGGAAAGCATAAATCACAGAGGCAGAAAACAAAATAGTCTACCCAGTGGCACTACTGTGCAGGTTCCGCTACTCTGGGGGAAGAAAGTACAAGGAGAAACAAGCAAGATCTGAGACTGGAAAAAGAGGCAGCACCAGGTAGTGAAGAGCTTACAGCACATGTAAGGAACTTGTCTTCACAGGGCGAAGAGGTTACAGAAATGTTTGAAGAGGGACCCAGCATGATCAGAGCATTTCAGTTTGACCATCCTGTGGTTGCACAGAGGAGCCAACTCGGGCTGTCTGGAGCAGGTCAAAAGCTGGTAAGAATAGTAGGTAGGGATGCAAAGAAGAGGTCTCAGAACCAAGAAACATTTAGGAGGTCATACAGGCCGGACTTGGTGATTACTGGGGGTATTGAGAATGAGAGAAAAAGAGGGAAAGAGAGAGAGAGAAGCATAGCAAGAGAGGTTTGGGGATGGGAAGATAACGAGCATAAGCTGATACTTCAGTGCACAGGCTCTGGACTCAGGCAGATCAGGGTTTGCATCTCAGTTTTGTCACTCATTTGCTGTATGACTTCAGTAAGTGACTTTAACTTCTTTAAGCTTCTATCCCCTTATAAGTTAAGTAGAAATGATCTAAGAACCTACCTCATGGGGTCATGGTAAGAACTAAGTGAAATCATGTATGTTAAGTGCTTAAGATAGTGCCTGCTGTATCAGAAACACCTGCTAATTAGTAAGGAACTTGAAAATGATTATCTAGGGGCGCCTGGGTGGCTCAGTGGGTTAAAGCCTCTGCCTTTGGGTCATGGCATGATCCCAGGGTCCTGGGATCGAGCCCCACATTGGGCTCTCTGCTCAGCAGGAAGCCTGCTTCCCCCCCTCTCTCTCTCCGCCCGCCTCTCTGCCTACTTGTGATCTCTGCCAAAGAAAGGAAGGAAGGAAGGAAGGAAGGAAGAAAATTATTACCTACCTACGTGCATCAGCAGGCACAACTACCTTCCGTATTACTATGATGAACCATGCACACTTCCAAGGAAGCCCAGCCCCTCCAATTGTACATGAGAACCCATCCCCTCCTGCCTACATCACTCCATCAATTGTTGGCTCTCTCCCCTACAACATCCATTCTGCCCTCGCTACTCACTCCTAGACCATACCCATGTACAGCCAACTCTCCCATTAAAAAATATAAAACTTTCTCTTGGCTGTTTCCCTCTGGCTAACAACCTGTTTCTTTCTTTTTCTCTGCAGCAAACCTCCCAGTCACAAATCTCCCTCCTCCCAATCTCTTCTAAATCTCTAACCGAACTTTGTCCTCCCTGACTCCACTATCGGCACCCTCTGCTCCATCGCCAATAATTTCTACTGTTTCTACTGTTGCTAATCCAACATTTACCGCTTCCTTGATTCACGTATGGCATTAGGCATCCTTACTCCCTTCTCCTCAAAACACTTTCATCACTTGATTCCCAGTGACCGGACTTTCTGCAATTTCTTCCGTCTCTCTGGCCATTCTTTGCCAGGATCCTTTGTTGGTTATTTTTCATCTTTCCAGCCTCTAACAATGCTCAAGGGCTCATCTGTCTTCTCTCTCCACTCCTTAGTATTCTCACCAAGTGTCATGGCTTTAAATAGCCATCTATGCCATTAACGCAAAAATCTGGATCTCTACTCTGGACCAATCCCCTGAGGCCCCAGACTCCCATATCAAACTGTCCACTCAACACCTCCACTTGGATGACTAACATGTCTTTCAAGCTCAATGCACCCAGAACTGAACTCCCTCCAAAAAATGCTCCCTCTAAAACCTGCTCCTCTCAAGTGTTCCCTCTATCAGTAAACAGAAACGCCATTTTTGGTGTAGCTTCTACCTAAGACCGAGCAGTAGCTTGAATCAGACAACCTTCTTACAGGAATAACCGTAAAGGCCGAAACTAAAACTAAAAACAAAAATAAAAACCACAGAGACATTCTGAAGGCACGAGAATAAGCAAGCCAGTGAAGAAATGAGGGACTGGGATCCCAGGGAGAAAGAAAATACATAGATATACATAAAATACATAGAAGATATACAACTTCTCCATTGTGTTTCTCCTGGGGCATTTGCTGAGTTTCAGAGCAGGGCATTTACGGGCAAGTAGAAAGCAGTGGTGAGAAGTGTCAGGAGTCTTTCAGATCTGGGCAGATAAAAATTACAGTTGAGAACTACAGACAGAACTTGAAGGGACAAGACCCCAGACAAAGCAGTTTCACAGAGAAATAAGCCTGACAATTTGGCTTTTATCCTTAAGGTGTTTGCTGAATTCTAAGCTGTAAGGACACTAAAAATCAAGAAACCAAGACAGTGCGAAGTGGCTAAAAAAGGCAAGCAGGCCTTTTAATAACCTTGTGGACTTGGGAATACAAAAATTGGAGTGCAAGGTTCCTAGAGATGGGTACCTGTTGAACATCCCAGGCTTTCTGCTGAGATTCCTAAAGGCTTATGCTCTGGGATCAGAGCAAACCAGAAAGCAATCAGCCCTCCCAATGCCTGAATCCTTGATTAAAGGTCACCTACCGCTACTCTAATTGCCAGCCAGAATAAAATTAAATCCTCCAGAAAGAGACAACATCAGCCAGAGCCTCTCCGCAATTTCTACGCAACATCTTATGAAAAACTTTAGCGTGATCTTTAACTCCTTTCCTTCTCTAGTGTTCCATTTCTAATCCATCTGTATCTACCTTCAAAATAGATTCAGGATCTCTCTGACCACTCCATTGCCTGGTCCCTGATCCAAACCACTTTCTCAGCCAGGCTGACTGGTTCGATTTGGTCTCCTGCTTCTGCTTTGCCCTGCTTCAGTCTATTCTCAACCCAGCAACTAGAACAGAAATGCTTTTTTAAAAAATTATGTCAGGGCACCTGGGTGATTCATGGGTTATGTGTCTGCCTTCGGCTCACGTCATGATCTCGGGGTCCTGGGATGGAACCCCAGGTCTTCAGGCTCCAGGCTCAGCGGGCAATCTGCTTCTCCTTCTTGCCCTCCTTCCCCCTGCTCCTGCACGCTCTCTCTCTTTCTTCCTCTCTCAAATAAATAAATAAATAAATAAATAAATAAATAAATGTCAAGCTTCTATTCAAAAGCCTTGGGGGTTTTTAACCTCAGAGTAAAAGTTCATCTTTACGCTGACCAACAAGGCACAACAATCTGAATTCATTATCTCTGACTTCATCTCCTAATGCTTTCCCCTGCTCCACCCACTCTAGCCTCCTTAGTCTTACTTAGAACACACCGGGTTTGTACCTGCCTTAGAACTTTGCACTGATGGCTTCTTGGAATGTTAGAGTTTCATTGCTCCATCTCCTTCACATCTCCACTCAAATTTCACCTTCTCAGTAAAGCCTTTCCTGACCAATCTAAAATCTCTAGGTCCCGCTCCACCTCTGACACCTCCTACGCTGCATTTTATCCTTAGTTCTTATAATTATCTAACATATATATTTTACTCACTTAAGAGTTCTCCAAGGACCTTGGGCTTCTGAGCCTTTGATCAAGCCATTCTAAATGTACATCCCCAAGACTCTCAACCAGTGAAAACACTAACACCCATCAAACAGAATTAAAATATCACTTTCTCCTAAAGCCCTTCCATAAATTACCTCAAAATTAAGAGATCAAACCTAAAAGTTCCATGCAGTGTTTACCTCTAGCACTCACCATACACCTTTATTTACGATTATTTATACCATACCTACACACTGGCTTTAGATCTTAATCTTCAAAGTGCAGGAGGAATCTAGATCTTAATGTAATGGCTCATCATTTACCAGACACAGTTCTAAGTATACTTATTAATGCTTTTAATCCTCATGACAAATCCTAACAGATAAATTCTATCGCCCCCATTTTACAGACCAGGGAAATGAAGCACAAAAGCGTTAACTTGCCAGAGGCTGTGGACTTGGTACCCCACAGAACCTGGGTTCAAAACCAGACAGCACTTCGCTGAGCTGAAGGAGTGAATGCGAGTGCAAATAACTGACCATTCAGGGATACATACACTTCACTTACACAAACTGGTATTAACATTGCTAATACTGAAACCAAAGCACCTGCACTTACAAGCAAAGACCCACCCCATGACGCCTCATTCTTCAGAGTTTGGGGCCCGACAGATTAAGACACAGGAGGCCTAACAGACTCAACAAAGCACCCACCCCTTTGCCAACATTAGATGTCTGGGGGGCGCCCCGTCGCTGGTGCGCCCGAGGATCCGCTGAGTGCTAGCAACCGGCGGGTAAGAGGACAAGGAGCGCGGGAAAAAGGAGACACTGCTGCGGAGCGCCCAAGGTGGAGGGGCGGCGGTGCTGGGAGACGCCGAGCAACCCTCGCCGCGCCCTAGCACGTAACAGAGCGGGGAGCCCGGGCGCCCCGTGTGCGCGATCACAGCTGACCAGCCCCGGGTAGCGGCGCGACGGCAGTGGCGGGAACAGAAACAGCCGAGGGCGCCCCTTAAGGAACGGGAGCACGTGGCCCTGGAAGAATGGCGCCGACACCAGCCCGGCAAAGCCAGACTTCAAAGTGGGAACGGGGACCGCCGCGCTGCTCGCCCAGTTCCCCGAAGTCCCCAAGCCCGACTCGCTCGGGAGACCGCTCCTGAACCGCAGGTGTCCACGCCAGGGACGCGCCGATGGGCGGAGCCAAGGGTCGGAAGTGCCCCGGAGGGCCGGCCTTCCAGCGAAAACCCCCGGCCGGAAGTGCCTGGAGGTCCCGCCCCCAGGCGGAACTCCGGGTTGCTGGGCAACCAAAGTGGGCTCCTTCGGCTGGCTCAGTGTTCCCTGGAACAAGCCGAGTGTAGCTCCCACCTCTTGTCCTGGCAACTTCCCGTCCCGCCCGCCTTCCTTCTTGCCGCCTCTCCTTGCGTCGCGGAATCCCTGCCCGTGGCACCACGCTCACGTCTCCGGCTCCCACGACCACTTAGCGCCCACCTGCCTGAAAGCCAGTCTCCACGGGAAGCGAAGCGACCGGGCCGCAGGCGTGGCCTCCAGGCTCACGGACCGCTCCTCCCCGGCCATGGGCACCTACACCTACACCTACACCAGCCGGCCCCGGGCCCTGCCCTGCCAGCGCCGCTGTTACCGGGACAGCATAACGCAGCCGTGAGTGAGCAAGCAGCCCCTGTGGGATCTCCACCTGCCCCGTCCCGGAGCCGCGGGTTGCGGGCCCCTTCGCCCTGGCAGACTTACCTGTGCTGCTCTCCCCTCTCCACACCTGCCGAAATAAAATTGCTTACCTAAAGAACTGTCCCGTGAGTGGAGGCATGAAGTGAGAAGGGGCACGGGCGGTCTCCCTTCCTGAACCTTAAACGAGCATGAGTTGCTGGCGTGATCGATTTAACGTGTACAGAAAACTCACGGTTCACAACATTGGAGTCAGCTAAGTACCGTTGGCCAGCCGTGGGCACCTCACGAGCGGCCTTCGCGTACATTTTCCTCCGTAGTCCACAGTGCTGTGACCTTGCTTTAGTAACTCCATTATGCAGAGGGGGAAACGGGGACAGGTGTCAGGCACGGTAGCACGTCCCGAATGACAGCCACGTCGAGCTCTTTCCACACCAGTCTTTGGTCAGGAGTCAGGTTATCCTTCCATGCTGAACCCCAAGTTGTATTTTTATATCAATAAGTATTTATTGGCAACTATTCGAATATCCGCTTCATTATTATCCATAATAATGTTTACGGGCCTTTCTAAAGCTTGTAGTTCTTTCCATAAACCTCAAATTTTGGAACCAGCAGAACTTCCCAAGAATGCAGACTCCACGGAAGCTGGAACATTTGTGTCTTTTGTCCACCTGGGATTGTGCCTGACATATAAGAGGCACTCACACAAATTGTTGAATTAATGATTGAACCAAGTAACTCTTGATGCGTATTTCAAACACTGAGTCTAAATTCATGATTATCTTATTATGGCAAATAAAGACTTTTTAAAATAAGAAATGCCTGTTACTTTAAAGAAACCAAAATGGAAATTTTAAATTTTTTTTAAAGATTTCATGTATTTATTTAAGAGAGAGAGAGAGACAGAGATAGCTACATAGATAGAGAAAGAACCAGGGGGAAAGAGAGAAGCAGGCTCCCCACTGAGCAGGGAGCCCAGAGGCGGGGGCTCTATCCCAGGACCCTGGGACATGACCTGAGCCCAAGGCAGATGCTTAACAGACTGAGGTACCCAGGCGCCCCACAAAATTTAAATTTACAGAGGGATTATTTATATTATAAAAGATTCCATTTAAAAACACTTTCTTGTGGCTTTAAGTAGTATCGAACAAATCATTACTATTAAATTACACCAACAAATAAGAATCAATGGTGGTTCATTAGGAATGATTTTTTTTTAATAGCTATTTGATAAGCAAGTTGCAAGACCTTGCTTATATTGATGTAATCTGTTGATAAAGCCATTGGAAGGAGTATGTGTGTATGTGTGTGTATTTGATTTTGCAGTTTAAAATTATCCTTAGTGGTGATTTTCAATTTAAAAAGTAATACATGCTTGTGAAGCAAATGAAAAATACAAAATAAGGATGAAAAGGGCAAGTTATCTCCCACTCACCTCTATTCCTACTAACCTTAACAATCTTATATTATTCGGGGCTCCTGGGTGGCTCAGTGGGTTAAAGCCTCTGCCTTTGGCTCAGGTCATGATCTCAAGGTCCTGGAATCGAGCCCCGCATCAGGCTCTGTGCTTGGCAGGGAGCCTGCTTCCCCCTCTCTCTCTGCCTGCCTCTCTGCCTATTTGTGATCTCTCTCTCTGTCAAATAAATAAATAAAATCTTTTTTTAAAAAAATCTTACATTATTCTTTTACACCTCCATACTTGAGCATATGCACAGTTATATAGGAGGTTTATTTCCAAAATTGAATCATACTACACATGTTAATCTGCAATTAGCTTCCCCGCCTTTTTATAACTTATAATTCTTTTTTTTCTAATTTCTTTACATATACATATACATACATATTTATTTTTATATAAACAGACTCCTGTGGTTCATGCTTGGGTACATTCTTAATGCCCAATCCCCTTCCCTTGTAAACTTGTTCTTTCCCTCCTCTCCTCAAGGTAAACCGTGTTAATGCCCTTACGTGAATGTTTCTGGACTTTTCTCCACACTCACATTTTATGTACAAATATATAAATATATGCATACAAGCCCACACGGTTTTGTCTACCTCATAGCAATGCTAACATTATACACAATTCTCAACATCTTCCTTTTCTCACTTAATTCTTTGTAGAAATCCCTCCAATTATTTTTAATAGCATGATAGCCCCTGGGGTATAAATGTACTATGCATTCTTAAAATTTTCGATTTTTGATTAGGTATTCAGTTTGATTCAAGTTTTTACCACAAAGAGGAAGTTCTCAATAAACAATTTTTTGTGCTGGCCTTTTTCTTCTATGAAACAGATTCCTGGAATGGGGTTGTTAGGTCATGTATATTTTTAATATGAACAGATGGAACAATATGCCTTTTCCTTAGTAATGTTTAAACATATTTTTCCTTACATCCTCACCAGCAATAGGTTTTATGGATTTTTTTCTTTTTGGCTTTTGATAGTGTGAAATCAAAACAAAAATTTTCCTCATTATTATGTTAATTAGCACTAGGGGGTTTTAACCAAGTAAGTGTCCTTTAGATTTTTTTCTATTTTAAAAAATCACTGGGTACAATGTATAGGACAGATTCTGAGAAAAATGTTCCCAACAGTTAAGACTAAGAGACTCTTGCAGTAGTCCAGGTAAAATATAGCGGTGGCAATAAGCCATGGAAAGATACGAAAAAGATTTGGGGAGTAGAATCAATAAGACTTGCTGGATACAGACAGTGAGGAGGAGAGAGGAATTATGGATGACTCCCAGGCTTCTAGATTAAGCCAATTGGGTGGTTAATGGTACCAGTTAGAAACAGGGAACACTAAAGACCTAAGAAGTTGGAGTGGGAGAGTGATAATTAGTTCAATCTTGAGGTTGCTTTCGAGACATCTCAGTGAGAGGTCACTGAGCATATCAATTGGATATATATTCCTGGAGCTCAGAGGAGAGTTCTGAGTTAAAGGTAAAATAAAATTGGGAGTTTTAGGTATATGGATTATGAGGAAAGCCGTGAGAATGGATGAATTCAGTGAAGGGCAAGAGAAGGCCTAGCCCTGAGATCGGGAGGAGCCAGCAAACACAGGCTGGGAAAGACAAGTCCTAGAAAAACAATCCGAAGACTATCCTGGTATCACAGCAACTAGAAAAAAGAGTGCTTCAGCGAAGGAGTGACCAGCTGAGCTGAACCCTGCCCAGAGAGCAAGTAAGATGAGCAGTGTTACATGCCCGTTTTTAAGTAATATGAGGTCAGGCTATCCAAAAGTGGTTTTAATATATGATAAAAAAGCAGTTTATGACCCCTCTCAAAATCATTTCTAGTAAAGTACTGTTATTGGTATGGGTCAATATTTGACTTCATAGCCATACATCAGATATCATTCAAAGAACTTTGAAAGAAAACATCAACAGTATGGTTTTTCACTACTGATATTCTGATCCCCCAAACCAAAATTCTATTAAAATTTAAAACAATATCATTTTAACAATATATCTCTGAGTTTAAAGAAACAACAAGAAATTTTATTTATTTATTTCATAAGCCTGATTCTGTGAATCTTTTCAATCCTTGAATCCAATTACTGTCAGTACTTTAAGGCAGGCCCCTTTCCAACCGCCCATTTTCACATTTGTCAAGTAGTCTAACAGATGTACAGCCCTAAGTCCAGCTCTGCCACTTACTAGCTAGGTAACCTTGGGCACATTCCTTTCTGAATCTCCTTCCTCTTCTGTCAGATGGGAATGAGAGTTCCCAACTTAAAGCTTATTGTGAGCAATAAATAAAATATGTGAAGGGTCTGGCATATAATAAGCATTCCATAAACGGTAGTAATTTGTCATGGACTGTGCCCAAACAAAAATCTGTTTTCATAAAATTTATATCTTGGTCTAAATCCAATTAAAAATGAGTTAACTGCACAGACCAACACTATTACAATAGTTACTTAGAATTTGCTATTTTACAGAGCTGAAGAACCTATGCATTACGGAAACATAATGTATGACAGAAGGGTGATCCGAGGCAACACTTATGCTCTACAGATGGGACCGCTGGTAAGTAAAATTTGAATATTCTAACACACAGCTTTTCAAAGTACTTGTGCTGAGCGACCAGTTTGTTTGTTTTCATTTCTAATTTGCTGTAGACTAGAACAGTTATAAAATAAAATGCTGATAGATTACTAGAAAAATTAAATCTAATTTTTAAAAAAAAGACATGCGAAATACAAGGCTGATGGTGGGTGCCGAGGATGAAGGGAGTGGGGGATTAGGGAGTTAGTGTTTAATGGGTACAGAGGTTCAGTTTTGCAAAATGAAGAGTCTGGAGATGGATAATGGTAATGGTTGTACAACAGTGTGAATGTACTTAATGCCACTAGATTCTACACTTCAAAATGACCTTTACCACAATTAAAAACAATAATTTAAAAAAATACAAAAACTCCAATGTTTTGCTAGATTAACAGCACTTTGTAAAACTGCTCTAAAAGCTTACACACTTCTACTCTCAATTTCTATAATTAAATTTTTACAGACCAGTTCAAATGGTTCACAGATAACACTTTGAGTAGCTCTGGTATAACATATTTAGGTTTGTTTAAATTATTTCATACTATAATACTCTCCTCATTATTTAATCCAAAATTCTTTTCTTTAATTTCTAATTTAATTAAATTTCTTTAATTTCTAAATATTTATAATATTTATTAGGTTTTAGGTCCTGTGCTGAGTACCTAGGATACAGAGATGATTAGGATGTGGCTTGATGATTAAGAGTGATGATTCAATATAGTTAATCTGTAAACACTGTGTGATATATACATGCCCACCACCACATGGTGATATATGGAATATTAGACATTCTGAAGCATGTACATCAAAGCCATCAAGGAAACTCACTAAAAATATTGTATGTTTCGGCCATACCCTGGATCTGCTGCATTTAGAACCTTCAAGGGTTGGACACAGATATGTGCATCATTAATTAGCTTCTCTAGGCAGTCGGTACAGCCAGTTCAGGGACCAACATTTGAAAACAACAGCTCAAACATGCAATATAGATGTGATTTGGCATCTTGTGGCAATAGCAATAAACACTGGCACACCTAGAACTAAACCAAAAAAGAGAATCACCTTTTTTTTAGTTTTTTAAAATTAATATTGTGATGATTTGATTTTTTTTTTTTTTTTAGTTTTTCAGTTAATTATTCAACAACTTACCTAAAAACCCTATACTGAGACTTCCAGTCCAGACGAGCAGGAATTTGCCAATAGCACAAGCAAACACTAGAAGATTCTGGAAGTGGAAAAAAGGAAATGGACTGGCTAGGGACCTCAGGATTTGAGCGACATAGTGATGAGTTCCCTAAGTCTTCTTAAATCCCATTCAGAACACTGGAGAAGCTTGCAACCCAGCACAACCAACAGGCACAAGCCTGCTCCCTTTATCCAAAAGACTGCAAAAGGGTAACCTAGCAGAACAGAAACCTTTTTACTACCCTTCCCCCAGCCAAACCCCCATGGAAAAACTGTCCTGTCCCTCCTAGTGGAGTCAGCAAGACGTGGCTGGGGAACTGGACTTCCATCCCCACGCTGGCAGCAATAGTGCAGTACTAATCAGTGCTCTGATTCACTCACTGAGGCGGTATCAACAAGGGCTGAGCAGGAAGCTTACCTTCCCTTCTCACCCAGGGGCAGTGAGATGGCCAGAGATGGTACAAGTTGGTACCATGCTTTTCCTGGGGTGATGGCAACAGAGCTAGGAGGCAGCTGAATTTTCAATCCTATCTGGCAGCAACAAAGAGAAACAAGTGAGATAAAGCAGTGTTAGAGCTCCACTCCTCTATACCCCAATACTGGTGTCACAGCAGGGAGCTGAAATACTACCCCCACCAGGCACCAATAAGGTGATTGATACAAATTGATCCTCAGCTTTCACATGGGGCCTAGCAGGAGGCTGAACTGCTATCTCCACCCATGCCTGCATGCCACAGCAAAAAGGGATGACTTCCTGCTAAAAAAAAGATTAAGATCCAGAGTTTCACATCCTAACACCCAAAATTTCCAGGATACAAAAAAAAAAAAAGAAAAATCTCTCATCATACCAAGAACCAGAGCAGTCACAACCGGAACGAGGAAAATCAGTCAAGAGATGACAACACCAACATGACTCAGATATAGGAATTACCCGACAAGGATTTTAAAGCAGTAATCATTAAAAAATGTTTCAATCAAAAATGAATAATTATGAACATTCTTAAATGAAAAAACAAAATATTAGCAAAGAAATAGAAGTCATACAAATGAGCCAAATGGGGGCACCTGGGTGGCTCAGTCAGTTAACCATCTGCCTTCAGCTCAGGCATGATCCCAGAGTTCTGGGATGGAGTACCACATCAGGCCCACTGTTCAATGGGGAATATGCTTCTCCCTTCCCCTTCTGTCCCTCTCCCTGCTCCTCTCTATCTCTCAAATAAATAAATATCTTTTTTAAAAAATGAACCAAATGGAAAATGTGTAAAAAGTCACATGACTCATCAGAAATGACATAGGGAGCAATCAGTGAATTCAAACCAAATCAATGAAAATTACCCATTTTGAATGACAATTGGAAAACAGGCCACAAAATAATAATAATAACAAAAAGTAAAAAAAGCTTCACAGCTGAGGAGCAATAACAAAATGTCTAACATTCATGTTTTCTGAGTCTTGGAGAGGAGAAAAGGCATGGGACTGAAAAAATATTTGAAGAACTAGTGTTTGAAAATTCCACAAATTTGGCAAAAGGCAAAAACCTACAGATCTAAAAAGTCAGCTGAACCCCAAGCAGGGAAAACCTAAAGAAATTCACACCAAGACACAACAAAATCAAATTTCAAAACTAAAATTAAAAAATCTTGAAAGCAGCTATAAACACATGACACATTGCCAGAAGTGGAACAATTATTTGACTAACAGTGGTTCTTCATTTGAAACAATGGAGACCAGAAAAAGTGGCACAGTATTTTTCAAGTCCTGAAGGAAAAGGGCTATCAAGCTCTAATTCTAATCCAGTGAAAACGTTCTTCAGGAATAAAAAGGAAATCAAGTTGCTCTCAGATGAAGGAAACCTAGAGGATTTGTCACCAGCTGACTTACCCTTAGAGAAGAGCTAAAAAAGAAAGCTCTCCAAGTAGAAAGGAAATGATAACAGAAGGCAGCTTGGGACTTCAGAAAGGAAGATAGAACAGTGGAATAGGTGAAAATAGGGGTAAATACAATAAACTGTCTTCTGGGTGTTAAAAATTGTGTTTGATGGTTGAAGCAAAACTACAACATCATGTGATGTGGTGCTTAATATATGTAGGTAAAATACTTAAGATGATTAGATTTTGATTGTATTTTAAAAGTAAGGAAAATAATGTGATCTAAATGGCAGTAAAGTTTCTGCCTTCCACTTAGAGTGGTAAAATGTTGATATTAAATGTTGACTGTGGTCAGGTACATAGTATATTGTAAAACTTGGAGCAACTATTTTTTAAAAAACTATGCAAAGATGGGGCGCCTGGGTGGCTCAGTGGGTTAAAGCCTCTGCCTTTGGCTCGGGTCATGATCCCAGGGTCCTGGGATTGAGCCCCGCGTCGGGCTCTCTGCTCGGCAGGGAGTCTGCTTCCTCCTCTCTCTCTGCCTGCCTCTCTGCCTACTTGTGATTTCTATCTGTCAAATAAATAAATAAAATCTTTAAAAGAAAAAAAAAACTATGCAAAGAGTTATAGTAAAAACTATTACAGATAAAAAAAGAATTCTAAGAAATGTTCCAACTAATTCACAGGAAGGAAAGAAAAAGAAAACAAAAATTAGAACAAACAGAAATTAAAAAGTAAAAAGACAACCCTAACATGGCAATAGCTGCCTTAAATGTAATGTAATAGTTGTAATAGTTGCTTTAAATGTAATAGTTTGCTTTAATGTAATAGTTGTTTTAAATGTAAATGGTCTAAACAAGCCAATTAAGAGATAGATAGGCAGAGTAGGCTAAAAAAAAAACAAAAACAAAACAAAACAAAAAAACCCCAACCATGACCCAATTGTGTTCTGTCTACAAGAAACTCATTTCAATTACAGTGATGTAGGTAGGTCAAAAGTAAAAGGATGGGAAAAGATAAACATTAATATTTAAGCAGTAGTTGTGGCTATCTAAATAACAGATAAAGTAGACCTAAAGAAAACAATATTACCGGGGACAAAGAAGGACAATACAAAATGGTAAAAAGGTCACAGTATTCCAAGAAGATATAGCAGTCTTAACTATATATGCACCAAACAACAGAGCTTCAAAATACATGAAGCTAAAACTGGAAGGAGAAATAGACAAATCCATAATTTTAGTTTGGTACTTCAATATCCATCTATCAGAAAATCAGCAAAAATATAGAAGAACTACACATCACCAACCAATAGGTTGTAATTTACATTTATACAACACTTTCACCTGACAACAACAGAGTACATATGCTTTTTTTTTTTAAGATTTATTTATTTTAGAGAGCATGAGTGGGGGCAGAGGGGTGCAGAGGGAGAGACAACCTCAAGCAGATTCTGCACTAAGCACGGAGCCCAGTGGTGGGCTTGATCTTATGATCCTGAGATCATGACCCGAACTAAACCAAGAGTCAGATGGTTAACTGACTGCACCGCGCAGGCACTCCAGAATTCATACAGTTTTGAGGCTCCTGTGGAATATTGACCAAGGTAGAACATATCCTGGGTTACAAAACAAATCTCAAGATATTTAGGATATTTGAAATCATACCATAATGGAATAATGTCTCTTTCAAAATTTCAAACTAGAAATCAATAATAGATGATAACAGGAAAATCTTCAAACACTTGAAAATTAAGCAGCATGTTTCCAAATAATCCATAGAGGAAATACTAAAGGGAATTTTGAAAGACTACTCAGGACTAAATGAAGATACAACAAGTCCAAATTTGTGTTTCATGCCAAAACAGCGCTGAAGTGGAAAAAACTAGAAAGGAAAGACTTCAAATCAATAATCTAACCTCCTACCTCAATAAATGGGGAAAAGATGAGAAAAATAAACCCAAAGCAAGCAGAAGGGAGAAAATAATAAAGATAAAAGCAGAAATCACTTACATTGAAAACAATAACAATAGGGGCCCCTGGGTGGCTCCATTGGCTAAGCATGGGACTCTTGATTTTGACTTAGGTCATAATCCCAGGGTGGTGAGATGGAGCCCCAGATCAGGCTCAGTGCTGGGTGTGAAGCCTGATTAAGATTCTCTTTCTCTCTCTTTCCCCTCCTACCCCCACTTACATGCACTCACCCTTTCTCAAAAAAAAAAAAAAAAAAAGTAGAGGCACCTGGGTGGCTCAGCCGGTTAAGTGTAGAACTCTTAGTTTTGACTCAGGTCATGATCTCATGGGTCCTGAGATTGAGCCTCACTTCAGGCTCCACACTTAGCAGAGGGTCTGCTTGAAGATTCTCCCCCACCCATCCTCCTCCCCCATGCATGTGCACTTGCATGCACACACACTCTCTCTCAAATAAATGAATCTTTTTTAAAAGCATACAAAAACAGCAGAGAAAATCAATGGACCCAAAAGCTGGTTCTCTGAATAAAATCAATAAAATTGATAAACCTCTAGCAAAACTACCAAATTAAAAATGAGAAAGAAGACACAAATAGCAGATACCAGAATGACTATCAGGGGATATAACCATAGATCCTGCAACCATGAAAAGATTAAATTTCTTATCTTTGAAAAGATCAGTAAAATTGATAAGCCTCTAGCAAAACTAACAAAAAAAGGTAAAAGAGGGGTTCCTGGGTGGCTCAGTAGGTTAAGCGTCTGTCTTCAGCTCAGGCTATGGTCCTAGGGTCCTAGGATCGAGCCCGGTGTCTGCTCCCTGCTTGGCTTGGAGTCAGCTTCTCCCTCCCCTCCCCTACTCCCCCCCTCCCCGCCACTCGTGCTCGCTCTCTCTTGCTTTCTCTCTCTCTCTGTCAAATAAATAAATAAATTAAAATCTTTTAAAAAGAAAAGAAAGGAAGTAGAAGAGGAGAAATAAGCAAATATCAGGGATGTAACTAGTAAAGATTCTGTATCTAGTAAAAGAGTAAAAGGATCATAATAGAATACTACAAATAAATCTATACATATAATTCAACAAACTAAATGAAATGGGCTGATTCTTTAAACTATAAACTACCAAAATTCACCTAACATGAAATAGATATTCTGAATTGTCTAATAACTATTAAAGCAATTGAATTTCTAATTTAAAAGCTTTCAAAAAAGAAATATACAGGCCCAGATAGTTGCACTGGAAAATTCTACCACGGATTTTTTTTTTAAATTCTCATTGATTTTACACAATTTACATAATTTTACACAATTTCTTCCAGAAAATAAAAGAAGAAGGAAAACTTCAGGGAATCAGTATTACCCTGATAAACAAATCAGACAAAGACACCTATAGACCAATAGCTATCATGAATGTCAACGCAAAAATCCTCAACAAAATACTAGCAAAGAGAAACCAGCGGGGATTCCACACTCAACAGGGAGTCTCCTTGAGATTCTCTCTCTCTCCTGCTCCCCCTCCCCACCCCACTTATGTGCTCTCTCTCACCCTCTCTCAAAAAAAAAATAAATAAAATAAATCTATGGTATCATCACAACCAGAAAAAGTATATGCATTTAAATGACAATGGCCACTGTATTAGGGAAATGGGAATATGGCATATTTTTAATAAATTTTTTTTATTTTTAATAAATTTTAATGTTACCAGATTGTTTCTACAATTCTAATTTTAAATATTAAAATTTTTTTCACACAAAGTCTTTCAAATTTCCCCATTCTTTTCATATTTACCTTGAGATAAGACAGGTTAGCTATAGGAAATGACCACAGAATAAGATACAGATATGAAATCAAGGACCTCTAAATATTGCAGAACTCTACTGTAAATAATTACATTTTTGACCCCAAATCAGCTATTGTTTTGTACACTGGGACAGGCTTTGTTTGGACTAAGAATATTTTCTTTGTGACCTTACATATTTTTTCAGGAATTTTGTCTATGTGAAATTCAGATATATTTTTTTTTTAGATCCTAGTGCTTTTCAATTCCTTAACTACATATTAAAATGTATTGTAACTGAGTAATTCTACAGTATACTTGGTGACGAGGCATCCAAGGAATTCACGGTAAAAATGCTTGAATGAGGAAAAAGAATTTATTAGATGGGATTCTGCCGCTGTTTATTCCAGTCAACAGTCACACTTTGAAGTTACTTATATGCTTCATCAGATAACTTTATAATTACCTGACAAAGTTCAAACATAATTTTAATCATGAAGTCACTGATAATCAGGAAGAATTGTATGGCAGATGCTCTTATGCTATCCAAGAATCACTTCTGGAATGGCAGTTCTGTATGCTTTGAGAAATATCTTCTAAATTTTAGAAGCCTTTTCTGTCACTCAGCCTGGGCAGCCTGATCCTCTAGAGATTCAGAGACAGCAGCAGGCAAAGAGGAGGGCTCTTGCCAGAAAACGAGCCCAAGAACAGCTCAGACCACGAACCCCCGAACCCGTGGAAGGCAGAAAGCACGTGGATGTGCAAACAGGTATGTGACCATGGCCCTGGCATCATGGCTCCTGGGTTTGCTCAATTTTCTAAGTCAATTCATTTTTTTTTGGCTTTTATATTACTTACATATCCATTAATCTATGCAGTACTGCCCCAGCCACATGGTAGGAAGAACACATTCATTCAACAAATTCATAGACTGTATTTTATTATTATATTGGGTATAGCTGGAAGTATGCGATAAGGTTAAAAAAATTTATGACCAAATTAATTCTCTCTTAGCTCTTTTCACATACTTTTTCTCTACTTGGGATTATTTCTCTCTTTCTCTTTTATATCCCAACATGAATCACTGCTGGACCTACAAGAGAAGAGATCAATGAAGTTCTACTTTGACATTTTATTTGTCTTTTGAGAGGCATGAACTCAACCAGATCTGACTCCTCCCCCTCTCTCCCCACAGGCTCTTCTGTTCTGTCCTTCTCCTTTCACTGCACACATTCCCCAAGGCCACATGGGCTCTGCTGGGCTAGTGCCAGGCTTTCCTACTCATTTGGCTGTTCTCAGCTAGGGAGGATTACCTGGACCTCTAGGGTTGAGCGGTAGTGGTGTCAGGATCTTGATAATTAGATAACACGAGGTGTTTTCCTTAGACTGATGTAACTACTCAGGATTCATCTTGCATCTTGCCAAGATGGTGAGTGGCTTTACCAGTTATTGCTGGGTAGTTAGGACAAAAGGAACCGAACCATTCCAGGTCTTTTCCCCACTACCTTGAGGCCAAGTCTAGAATGCATATATGTCCGTAATTAGCCAATGTAGCTGCAATTCTACAAGAGCTAAATTTTAGTGTTTCTTTATACATCAAAATATCAAGTGATACAGTAGCAGCCGCTTTGTATTGAGTTTTCCTATATCTGAGACCATTCCAGTCCTCTACCTGTGCATCTCCTTTATTATTAAAAACTCCTTGTGATGAGTCATTATGATCCTTTACGGATAAAGAAACTCAGGCTCTAAGAAGATGTAACTTGACTAGGTCCTGTGTTCAACATCTGACTTCGGTTCTCATGTTCTTTGCATGGTACCACACTGCCCTTGCCTCAGATAAATGATTCCTAAGGTGAAATTTTTTTTCGTGTGTCTGTTTATGATCTATAGCCTAGAGGGAACATCAAGTAACATGGTGCCTAAGTTTTAAAATATCCAGGAATTTTGAAATCTTTATACGTTTACTGTCTTAGGACTCTGTTATACAGATGGATTATTAACTCTCCGTCTCTAATCATACTTTGCATCTTACATTCACCTAAGTTTCATGTTCTTTAGTTCCATTTTCAAGTACAAAGCTCAGTGCTTTCTCAATGTTCCATAAATGCCCTAGCCTGGCTGGCTCTGTGTTCTTCCAAATACATAAAACTGCTTAGGACAAGGTGTGAATTTAATCCCACACTTGAGCACTTCTTTTCTGATCTATTTAATTCTGTTTTGAAGGAGCTAAAGTTTCAATACACATATATGCTTGAAATAGAACAGAATTTCAAACTCAGTGTATACGGTATTCTCTTAGAAATATACCTTGAAGAAATTGCTGACCGCATAATAGAAGTTGATGTGGAATGCCAAACAGATGCATTTTTGGACAGACCGCCAACACCACTCTTTATTCCTGCCAAAACTGGCAAAGATGTGGCCACCCAAATACTGGAAGGAGAGGTATAGTACATTATTTGGACTTCCCGCTATCTTCTTTATAAATAGGTAAAGTTAGGTTTAGTTAAAAGCTTACAAACCACTTCATAATCAGAAAGATGCTACCTACTGGATTTCTTTCCAAATGTACCTATAATAGTTTTATTCTGAACTACAATGTTCTGATTTACCCTCTTTGCTGATCAGAAATAAAAAGCATTAGAAATATTTTTAGAATATCTGCACTTTGATTTTTGTGTGTTTGCATACTTAATATAGGGATACAAGGTAAATTTGTACCAAATAAAGAAAAATACTATCTCTGGTATAAGAGGTTCCCTATTAGTTGCTTTTAAATTATATAATTTTCATGAAGATATTCTATGTTAGGGAAAAAAATCCTAAAATATTTACATTTTCATATCAACGTAGAATGCACAAATAGACCAGTTTAGGAAATTGAAGAGAGGGCAATTCTTATGCACATAATTACTTAAGTGAGATTTAATACTTACTTGAAGGAATTGCCCCTGAAATTGGGAAATAAAGTAAGTCTTCACAAACTACGTAGAAGGGTATATTTGCCTCTAAATTCTAGAGAAGAATCACCAAAATGCCCATTATTCTTATTCCTTAGTTCCTTGGTTCTTCAAACTGTTAATGAAAATCTAATAAAAAGGGCAAAAATTAAGAAATATAAGGATATTTCTTTTGGGTTTCAGAGTTTGATCTAAAAATTGTTGAGTACCAGGGTTCATTCTTATGAATACGTAAGTCGTTTTATAATTTTTGGCTGTTCTTCTGTGTGCCCTGCAGGGCCATTGTGAGTTTTGGAAACCATAAGTAAGTTACCATCACAGTGTCTGGCACACAGAAGATCCTCAATAAATAGAACCCTGCCATTACCTCTTTTCTGGATATTTTTTCTTTGAGCATTTGGTTCATGATTAAAATTTTAAACTTGCTTTAAAAAAATTTTTTTAAACTTGCTTTGTCCTGTGTGTTTAAGCTCTTTGACTTTGATCTTGAAGTAAAACCAATGTTAGAAGTTCTGGTGGGAAAGACCATTGAGCAGTCTCTTCTGGAAGTAATGGAAGAAGAGGAGTTGGCCAACCTGCGGGCCAGTCAGCACGCATACGAGGAGCTGCGCAGCGTTGAACTCGCTGAAGTTCAACGACTTGAAGAGCAAGAGAGACGACACAGAGAAGAAAAAGTATAGAATTCTAGTTTTCTTTCTTGGTCTTTGGCTATTTAACAGATTATGTCCTGAATCACGTATGTCATAGAGCTAAAAATCTTTGCAAATACGTCAGGAAAAAGTTTGTTGCTCAGTTATCTCCTCTTTTGTAGATCACAGGTCTTTCATGCACAGAATCACATTCTTTAAATACCAGCTTACATAAATGTATCTAAAAAGAGTTTCCAAAAGTTTCTAAATGTAATAAATTACATATGGCCCAGCTGAAAGGCAGTCTTAAATATCAGGATTTCTAGCGAAGGAAATATATTGGTTTACCATTCATCAGTGGCCAAAAATGGAAGGGAAAAGTAGAGTACAACGGGGATAGGTGGCATCAAGAAGCAGAGGATCTGGAAAGAATTCTGGATCTTTTTCTCAGGGGCCAGACCCTTTCCTGTACCCAGGGATTCTCCAGAGCTTCTTTATAGAGTATTTTACATTACAGATTTCTAGAACTTTTAGTAAGAAAAGTTTTAGAATCTAGTTTATAAAATGTGCCAATAGGCACGCCTGCGTGGCTCGCTCGTTAAGCATCTGCCTTCGGCTCAGGTCATGGTCCCAGGATCCTGGGATGGAACCCGCATTGGGCTCCCTGCTCAGTGGGGAGCCTGCTTCTCCCTCTTCCTCTCCGCCTGCATATGTTCCTGCTCTCGCTATTTCTCTCTGTCAAATGAATAAATAAAATCTTTTTAAAAAGTAAAAATAAAACATAAATAAAGTATGCCAATTACCTTCAGTCAGGAAACACTAGACTCAGTGATCTTTGAGAGTCTTTCTGGGTCTGACAATAATTGTTGCCCTTTGTTGGACACTGAATAGATAAAGTACATAGGAGTGCCTGAATACCTAAAAGAGTTCAAATAATTTCCCAAAGTCTAGTTTACTGCACAGAATAGCTTAGTTGTTGGGTTATTCTACTCAATGCCTAATCAAATGGACTTTCCATTTTTCTCCATAATGAATAATTAATTGTGTAAAGGGCATAGGGCTTATGGTAGAGATTATACAATTGCAAGACTATTTGTTTACAAATGTGAAATGAACAGTGGCAAAATTAGCTTTGTTGAAATAATCAGGGAAATCCTTATCAAAGGAAACGTACTTGTTTGTTTACTATTAGGAAATATACTATGAAAATAATGAATAAAATCACCTAGACTTATATTTGCTTAAACTCTGAAAATAGACTTCATAAGAAACTACATTAATGCTCCCACTTCCACATGGGAGTAGAGGAGATGGTTCGTTAGCTTTATAGATATCCTATAGTCTATAAGAAGCAACAACAACAAAAGGGAGGTTTATAATTTTCAGAGCTCTATGAATTCAGAGAAGCTCACAAATGAGACAGCTCACGGATCCAAGTTCTTTAACTGAAGATGTCTGAGCCACGTAACTTTTGTATTGATAATAGTTTATGGTAATACAAATCACAAATACATATAACTATTATTCTTTGATATTATCCATATAGTTAAACATGTTCATCTTCAAGTGATTTTACTTAAAAGTGGATCAGGAGATGAGTCTTCCCTTAAGCTCCATCTCTTTTTTGAAATCAATACCCAGTAGCTGTTGAAATTCATTAAAATCTTGAATGAAAACTATGAACTATTCAGATTCCTTGCTGTCCATTTTTGATACAAATACGTGGCCAGATTCTTCCACTCGCTAGATTCCGTGTTTGGGGAGCGCCTGACGGCTCAGTAACCGTGCGCGGTGGTGGTTTCTGTGCGCAGGAGCGGCGTAAGCAGCAGCAGTGGGAAGTGGTCTACAAGCACAAGGAGACCTCGCAGAAAGTGGCCGCCCGAGTGTTCGCGCAGCGCTACCTGGCGGACCTCCTGCCGTCGGTGTTTGACAGTCTCAGGGACGGTGGCTACTTCTACGATCCCATTGAAAGAGGTCGGTTGGGGGCGCCAGGGTGGCTCAGTGGGTTAAAGCCTCTGCCTTCGGCTCAGGTCGTGATCCCAGGGTCCTAGGATCAAGCCCCACGTCGGGCTCTCTGCTCTGCAGGAAGCCTGCTTCCTCCCTCCTCTCTCTCTGCCTGCCTCTCTGCCTACTTGTGATGTCTCTCTCTCTCTCTCTGTCAAATAAATAAATAAAAAAAAATTTAAAAAAAAAATTAAAAAAAAAAAAAAGAAAGAGGTCGGTTGGTGGAGGTGGTGTAGGATCACTGCTACAATAGCATCTTCCTAATGCTTCCTGCCCATGTTTATGTTGAATTGGAATCTATCTTTATAAAACAAAATTTTAAAGTCAATTATAGTTGTTTTAAGTAAGTACTGCTATTATTGAGAGGTATACTATAAAGCTCATGATTTTAGGGTGTCAGTCTGTCTGTACTAAGAAGCAACACTGGGTAGTAGGCAGAAATACAGGCTTGATGTCAAAAACGAGTTTTGGTCCCAGTTTCACCATCAATCAGCTATATGACCTTCAGTTTCCTCATGGGTGAAATGATTATTTAGGAGCTAAATATCATAATATGTATGGAACATAATATGTATAAGATATGTGCAGAAGTAGTTGTTAACTTTTTCTCAGCTGACTTCCTATTCCACTCAAAAACCCTTTGGGGGCAGCAATGGAAGTTGTGTATTCATTTAATTAGGTGTTTCCACCACCCTGGGAACTGAATTAGGTATGGGAGATAAAAATGAGGAGACCTGGTCTCCACCTTTAGAGAACTCACACCTGTCAGCTTTCTGTGAGCACCCACCAAGACCCACCCCTCAGCTAACCTGACCAAAGGAATCTCACCCTCCTTCCTCAGGTTCAAAACCCCTTAAATGCACATTCTTTTGTATACAGGTCCTATTTCAAAAGGCTAATAGTATTGGGGAGCAGAGGTTAGTAATGTTAATCTTCACTGAATATATACTCAATTCAGTACACATGCATAGAGAGAGGTCAGATTACACACAACCACTGGTTTACATTTATATCGTACTTTACCATTTATGTAGTATTTTCCATTTGACCCTCCCAGGAACCCTGATGGGGAGAGGGGGTAGATAGGGCAGATTAATTCCCATTTTTTGGAAGTAGAAACTGAAGCTCAGGGAAGTGAAATGCCTTCTCCCAAGCAGCCATCCAGCTTCAGACTCTGACCCTAGACCCACTGCTCCTTCCATGCTGCCGTGCCAACCCCCCGGGATCTAGCTAGACCTCTGCTGGTAGTCACAGAGGCTGATAACTTTTTTTTCCTCTCAGGAATTGCTGGAAAAGTCAGTTACAGATCATTTAGAAGCTTAAAAATGAGCTTCATACCTCAGATTAAAAAATTACTTCTAGTAGTGAATGTAATACCCTATTATATTCTCTATTGTCAACCCATTAAAAACTAACGGATGCCATCCCCACCCCCGCAAAAAGCCATTTTGAAACATTAAAATGTATATAATAATGGATCATATTTTTTAAAGGCTCACACAGTAGAGTAGATTTCCATTTCAGTTTGAACAACTTTATCACTAATGGAAGCACCTAGTTTCTGACCCATTTCTAGATGGCCTTCTTCTCAGATACTCTCTGACCCTTGTGCCCTGACCCTTGGAGAGCTTGTCCTAGGCCCAGGCTTCAGGCTTCTCTTTATTAGCATGGTTCGATCCCAGATTTGTATCACATTTGAATTGGAGTTCTGCTCCAAGACCCACATCTTCCTCCCTACTCCCCCACCCCCTACCCTACCTCCTTCACCAAGTCAGATTGCACCTGTTGCAGTTAGTTCCAAAGGCCTGGACACCAAGGAAGACCTCATAGTTTTGAAAATACTCTTTTTATTGCAACAGAAAGGAAATGGACCACAACATGCTTAAAGAATGTGGCAAAAGTAATGCTGTGTAAGTGTATTTGACATTTTGTATTAAGGAAACAGTGTTAATGAATCTTCAACAATTAGGGAGAAAGCACAGATTCTTCCTATCCATAATAATTCATAAAAATCAGTATAATGATTGAATTTCATTGTAACAAAATTAACCTTTTTTTATTACAGATATTGAGATGGGATTCCTTCCATGGCTAATGAACGAGGTTGAGAAAACCATGGAATACAGTATGGTGGGAAGAACAGTGCTTGACAGTAAGCCCTTTTATTTTACTTAAAAGTTACTCCTGGGGGCTCTTGGGTGGCTCAGTCAGTTAAGCATCCGACTCTTGCTATCAGCTCAGGTCAGGATCCTAGGGTCATGAGATGGAGTGTGTGTCAGGCTGTGTGCTGGCCATAGAGCCTTCTTAAGATTCTCTCTCCCTCTCCCTCTCCATCCTTGCACTCATGTGTGCTTCCTCTCTCTCTCCCAAAAAAACAAAAAACAAAAACAAAAAAAATCACTTCTGGGGCACCTGGCCGGCTCAGTTGGTGGAATGTGACTCTTGATCTTGGGATTATAAGTTCAAGCCCCACATTGGGTGTAGAGATTTTTATTAAAAAAAATAAAATATTCTTTAAATATAAAGCCCCACATTGGGTGTAGAGATTTTTATTAAAAAAAATAAAATATTCTTTAAATATAATCCTTTTAAAATTATTTATTTATTTATTTATTTATTCAACAGAGAGAATCACAAGTAGGTGGGGGGGGGCAGGCTCCCCGCTGTGCAGAGAGCCCGATGTGGGGCTCGCTCCCAGGAGCCTAGATCATGACCTGAGCCGAAGGCAGAGGCTTAACCCACTCAACCACCCAGGCGCCCCTTAATCTTTTTTTAAAAAAATTCATTTCTGAGATTTTTTGTCAGAAAGAATAAATAGAAGAAAGATGTTAAATTTTATAATTTTCATTTTTAAAGTTTCATTATCTCCATTATATTAACAAAGGCACCAATTTTTTACCCTCAATAGTATTTTTGGTTCTTGTGTAATTTGATCGGAATCAGTATCTTCTCTCGTGACTGTATAAATCCTATCCTGTTACAGCAGGCATTGACTATAATTCATATCCAGCGCATTACGTGGCATAGAAGTTAAGTGTGCTGCCTTTGTATAGAAGGAACACAGGGAAGGGCTGACGTCCGGTGAACACTTTCCGCTCATCTGTAAGTCAGCCTTATAACTACTCAAATAGGAACAATCACAGTGATTTTTGCACATGTAATGTTCCAGTGTTGATTCGTGAGGTGGTGGAAAAGAGACTGTCCATGTACGAGCATAAGGAGGACCAGCCCCAATATGTGAAGCCTGAGGACGGGCTTGGTGGTCCTGGAGCGATGGGAGAACCACTGGCGGATGAGGAATTCCTTGAACGGAGTATGCCACAGCCACAGGGGCCCCTTTCAGACAGAGACTCCCTGCAAAGAACACTAAGCAATGGAAGGTATGTGGGGAACGTGTCGCCCCAAGAAGGGAACTTTATGGAAGACGGAGAGGATGAGCAATAAGGAAGACCTCAGGGAGAGAACTGTTGCCACCGAGGGGCGCCTTCGAGCCGGGACACCGCTTGGTGGCAGTCAGCGTTGCAAGCGATCAGGTAACGTGCAGGTCCCTCAGGTTATGGAAATTATGTTGTATTTACTCAACATTGTCTCATGGACTGGGCAAATCAAATATGTTGAAATAATAAAACTAATTAAAAATGAAATTTAATTCATTTATTTAATGGGAGATATCTAGAAGCTGTGTTGTTGTAACTCTAATAAGAATCATGTCTAATTACAAGCTTTCTGTTACCACAAATGGAACTAACAAATATATTTTCCCTGAATTTTTCTGATTTTGTGTTTGTTTTTTTTTTTTAGTGTCATATTTAGTGTTAGATATCGGTGCTGTTAGCCACTGAGACTTTCTGCTCTACAGGAAAACTATTCTACCTACCCCATGAAAAAATACCTAAATGTCACATCACGGAAAGCTTTAGTGCTCCCTCCTTGCAGGGACCAACACATACACCCTTATCTGTGTGAAACTAAATAGATCGCTACCCCTTCCGTTGTCAATGTTCAAGTAAGGCTCAAGGGATTCTTTGAATTGGTAATAGGCTCTTGTCTGTTTTCTCACATCCCTGCTATTAAAACATTTCAAACAACACCAGTAAAGCTGAAGTCCCTACTTTTCCTTAGGCGGTTCCCCTCCCCTCCTCAACGATAATCATTGTTATCATTGTTATAATTAGGTCTGTACCTTCTAGGCCTTTATCAAGATATTCATACACATATATATTTGAACATTAGAAAATATACAGGTTCCTTTTTCTTTATGTACATATAAATGTATAGTTTCCATTTTTCAGCTAACAGTCTATCTTAGACCTTAAACATTAGTACATATAAATCTCTTTTTAAAATACGGTAAGCTATTATATATATTTTGACTGTGTTATACAGAATTCACATGTGACTTTTTAACCCAAACTTGTCTGAAGAGTTTACCTGTGCTATTGAAAATTTGGGGCACCTGGGTGGCTCAGTGGGCTAGGCCTCTGCTTTCGGCTCAGGTCATGATCTCAGGGCCCTGGGATGGAGCCCCGCATCGGGCTCTCTGCTCAGCGGGGAGCCTGCTTCCTCCCTCTCTCTGCCTGCCTCTCTACCTACTCGTGATCTCTGTCTGTCAAATAAATAAATAAAATCTTAAAAAAGAAAGAAAATCACAGATTTTTTAAAAGATTTTATATTTATTTATTTGAAAGAGACTGAGCGAGAGAGAGCATGAGCAGGGGGAGGAGAGAAGCAGACTTCCCTGCTGAGCAGGGAACCTGACTGGGGGCTCGATCCTAGGACCCTGGGATCCTGACCAAGCCGAAGGCAGTGGCTTAACCAACTGAGCCACCTAGGTGCTCCAATCACTAATATCTTATCTCTAAAGTCATATTAATCTTAAGCAATCATTGAAGTCCTCTGAAGTTTTAGATAGATAAAACCTATTTTTCTCAGAATAGTTGTAGATTTATAAGCTGTAGTGATTTGAAATAACTGGCAGTTATTAACACATTTATCTTGATTTCTTTTTAAGTTAGGTACCAAAAATGTATCCACATTTTAAAAATGAAGAACTTCTTCCTCTGTTTTTAAAAAGAAACACACCATGTTATCTACAGCATTATGTAGTTCTCAAACCATTTTCCCATATGTCATACCACTTTATCATTTTAACCTCAGAGCAACCCTTCTGAGGTATGCATGACAATATTTTTATTTTCATTGTCAGCCGGTCTTGGTAGGTCAGCCAGCAAACGTTAACTGCATGCCTGCCGTGTGCTGGGCACCATGTGGGAGACCAGCACCGTGCAGACCAGCCTAGCGGTGGAACTAAATGTAGTTGGGGTGTAAATGAGGAAACAGCCGCTCAGGGATTTTAAGTGATTCGCCGTAAGTCACAAGCTTAGTAAGTAATGGGATGAAAGCTGGGACGCAAATCTTCGTCCTTCTAATCCACTGTACTATCCTGTAAACAACCTTGGGCCCTTGTGAGGTATGAAGAATGACTTTAAGTAAATTATTGCATTAGTAGCATTTTAAAAATTGGAATCACACCTGTTACCATTACTGGGTATTCCATGTTGTTGAAGTCTTTTTGAGCATCCTCACACAGACAAGATTTTAATTTTGGCAAGAAGAGCAAGACAGGGGCGCCTGGGTGGCTCAGTGGGTTAAGCTTCCGCCTCAGGCTCAGGTCATGATCCCAGGGTCCTGGGATGGAGCCCCGCATCAGACACTCAGCAGGGAGCCTGCTTCCTCCTCTCTCTCTGCCTGCCTCTCTGCCTACTTGTGATCTCTGTCTGTCAAGTAAATAAATAAAATCTAAAAAAAAAAAAAAAGAGCAAAACATTTTTTAAATTGGGGTCACTGTGAATCATTATTGTTACTGATTTTAAAATACCTCCAATTTTAAAAATGCTTTCAAAATGGATTAGAGGTTGATTATCTTCTACAATTCTAATCCTCTTCTACAATAGCCAAATCCATTAAACTTTCAGCAGATGTTCAGCTAAACATCCAGACCTGTGCTCGATAATTCCACGAATTAATTCAATTTATTAAATATATGAATATCTGTAGACTTCATACTGAAATTGGTTAAGCTTAATGCCATCCTAGTCAACGCTAGAGAGAAAAAAAATGATTAAGTGGTTAGGTCTGGGACGCCTGGTTGGCCCAGTCAGTGAGGCATCCGAGTCTTGGTTTCGGTTGAGGTCACGATCTCAGGGTCTTGAGATGGAGCCCCGAGTTCATCTCTCTCTTCCTCTGGCCCTCGAACTCGTCCTCTTTCTCTCTCTTACTCTCTCTCAAAAGTAAGTTAATAAATCTTTAAAAAAAGAAATAGTGTTTAGATCACTTCCCTGTGAGAAAACTTAGAGAAACAGGTTATATATTACCTACAGAAACAATATTGAATGGAAACTTTAAATTGGCTTTGCCTACACTTGCTAATACTATTCTTATGAGTTCTATTCCTTTCCATTGTTCCTACTAACACTAAGCTTACAGAAGCTAAATAGTAGTAAAATGCATGTTATGTAATAAATTTATAGAGATGGTCAGCCCTGATAGTGATAAATTCCCATATCACTAAAATAGGTCAGGGAGGTCAAAGTAATTTTCTCCAAGGTACACATCATCACGTACAAGCCACCCTGACTTCTGCTGAGCTGAGGGATGTTGGCACAGCCTGGAAAGTCACTCAGAGCAGCTCAGGGTGGTGACTGGAAGCTCAGACACCGGAGCCAAGCCTGGGCTCACTTTCTCCACGCATAAGGTCGTTTGCCTTTGTAATTAGGGAACAGAACCAGCTTATCAGTTGTGTTTTATTTTTGAATGTAGGAGGGTGGGACACCTTTAGAAGGAAAACATACTTGGAGACTACTATTCCTTTGAAAGTTATAACGGGGATGGGACAAGTGGCATTTTTGTATCATATCAAAATGCGATGGTACCATAACCATCAAAATGTTAATAACACCCACTTCTATCCTAGAAGACTTCTATTTTCTTATCATGTTGTTAAAGTTTATCAACCACAACAGCTACATTTTAAAATCTGTAATTTTAATATTCTAATGCTTCACTTACTATGAAAAACTTGGAACATTTCTAGTTTGTTTATAGATGAATTACAGAAAATTTTTATATATATTCTATAGGTCAATAGGTTATTGATTTTAGGTAGCCACATATCTCAATTTATTTAGCATAGAGGCATTCTGGAGAGGACCGATGGGTTTAATTCCCCCACAGACCAATTAGCACCTATTGTGTCTTAGCAATAATTCCCAGATTTAACCAGAACCAACCTGCTCCTGGCTTGTCAAGAATGTTACAAATCAGGTGCCACTACAGTGAAAAATACTGTTAATAATATTGGATGGTACCTGTAATTCTCCCTTTGAATTGGAGGACATTTACCTTTGTAGTTTAGTGATATGAACTTTAATAGATTTGTAATTAAAATTTGGTACATTGATAGCTTAGATGATATTTTGTGTTTTTTATAAACCATAAAAATAGTAATAACAAATATGTGACTTAGAAGAAACAGTAACAACACTATAAATCTATGAAGATACTAGAGTTTGAAACTTTAGGATAAAAATATCTTGACGATAATATTTAAACAGTTTTAAGTCTTTTCAGGAAGAGAGTCCAAAGCATGAATGACTTTTTCTCACCATATGCATCTATAATTGTTGTAAGTATGAAGCATTTTTATTTGTGCTACTGTATGTATTGTCTTCATTTTAGATTATATTGATATCCATACTTACCACCAGGTGTCAGTAAAACTCTAAGGTAAAGTTAACTTGCCTCCAGCTTCACTTGATAACCATGAAGAGACCTTGAGAGACAGCATTCAGAAATAATGGTATTCCTTGGAGACTCTAGACTCACACTGAATATTTTATCTTTCCCTAAACTCATCTGCCAGCTCTGTAGGGATGCCAGTGGACTCCACCCTGTATCTCAGACCCTGAAAATGTTAATTTCAGAATAGACCTTAGCTGTCATATACCCAAGGCCTCTATCCAATACAGTATGTTTGATGATCATTTAGTTCTCGTTTAATCACTGAGTATGGGGCTTTCACTTTATGAGAAGCTCTAGAATACCAATTCTATCTTACTTAATTTTGTCCCCCCAGGCCCAGGCTGTAGTAAATAAATGCTTAGTCAATTACATTGTTGGATATTTCTCATTTTTAGAAATGTATCTTCTTCTGAGTCAGAATGTCCCATTATAGTCTATGCTTTTTTGTCATAATCATGCCATTTGGTAGGAGTATGATGCAAGAAAACAGAACGATTTTATTCTCCTACATTCCAATAAGTTTTTCCTTTCTTCAGAGTTTCTCTTCTTGGAATGAAGTATCACTACTCTTCCCAATTATTCCTCATATGGCGTAGTTTCAGAGTTTCCTCACCCTCCATCCTACTTACTGTTACCTTGAAACTCCTCTATCTGTTCAGCGTCATCTTAAACCTATTTCCCAGAATTAGGGAGACTTACTATAGCTGTAATCTGACTCAGCAGGGAGTGCTCTGGGACTGCCCTCTCCCATGATGTGGACAGCACCTAGTCACTTCCAAATTCAGATATCTAGAAACCTCATTTTTAAAACATAGGAGAAAAAAAATAAAACATAGGAGAAAAAAAGCCAAAATGATCTGTATGCAGTCACTATGTCACAAAGTCCACACACATTGCTGTGGACCATCCAAAGCTACTTTACAATATTGCTAACCAATTCAGCTATTTGATTATTAACTCCACAGCATATTGGAAG